GACATTGGTCGGAGAGTGCAAGATACGCGGATGGTTTTCGCCACGATGCACTCGGACATTAGTCCTTTGACGGCCCTGCGCGGCAAATGTCAGATTCGGCACAAGACGGAAATCCCAGACCTGGCGGCGTATAAGAGGTTGCGCGACTGTTTCTGGTTCGAGAAGCTGTACGACCGATATATCCAGAAGAACTACGAGGTGATTCCGACCAAGCAGATCATCAATGTGCCCGAGCATGTCAAGAAGGTGCTGGACGAGAGATGGAAGTACATTTTGGTGGAGCAAGGCCGAGGCAAGGAACTAACCAGTGCGGTCAAGACTTGCAAGCGGTGCGTCGGCTACTGCGCCAGGTAAGTCGTGGACCGTCTGTGTTGCCTCAGATTTGGTTCGGTTTTCATCTTCCCTTTTGTTCTCACGCTTGATTCACCTCACTCACTTCATCACTTGCTTTTTCGATGCACCCCTTCCACCCGCGGTACCGGGACGGGAACACACTAACTGCAAACAATCCCCCCCCCCCCCTTCTTCGGGTGGTTTGGTGCTCAGTGCATTGGGTGGTCTGTGCATCATCCTGATGGACGGTATACTTTGATTTGGCGCGGCTTGGCTTCGCACTCGTGCCTCTGGGCTTGGCCAATAAGTGTGGGCCCGTCCCAGGAACAGGACGTTGCAGCATGTCGCGGTCCCCCATTTCAGTGCCTTGCCCCCACCCCCCTGGTCCCTTGCTCCCCCATCATTCGCATCACCCCCCCCTTGTCTTTGTCAATTACCACTCCCCCATCTCAACCAACCAGTAAGCGATGGATGTGCTGACGCCCGCAATAGCAATGATTCGGTGGATTGTGCCGTGTGTCAAAACACGTACCATATGAACTGTGTAAGGCCGCCGCTGCTCAAGAAACCGTCGCGTGGCTTTGCCTGGTCCTGCGCTGCATGCAGCCGTGCTCAAGAACGCAAGCTGGAGGCGCGCAACACCCCCAACGTCCTCGATCCCAATGGCACCCATTTTGACGATGACGATGAGTTTCTCGAAGACGATGAGGAGGACCCGCCCGGCGTCCAGACTGGCATGAGCAGTCGCACTAGTCCGGCCACCGAGGACTTGCACCAGGAGGCCACGGCAGAACAGATATACCAGTGCAGCCTATGGCCATATCGCTACCTAGGAATGCACTGCAAGGTCGAGGATGCCCTGGATTATGATGACCGCATCTTCCCCCGTGCTAGCACCCGGTTAGGCCCGCGCCACCAGGCCGTTGTGGTGCCGTGGTATGGCCGCCCGGTGCAGTATGTGAAGCCTCTCGAGATCAAGAAGACCGGCAGAAAAGACGGGAAGCTCAACAAGGAGCAACAGGCTCTTCTGGAAGCAGAACGTAAAAAGCGAGAGACACGTCCTCAGTGGATACAGGACGAGCCTGCTGGTTATGTCGAGAGAGGTGGTGATGATACCGTCACAGTACTCTACAAGCCCCCTGAACTCTGCGGCAAGCAGATGCCCAACGAAGCCATTGACGAGTTCATGGACAAGGCCAGAGGCATGGCGGTAGAGCTGGGTCTTCCTCCACGATCGACAAACTTGCAGGATGTTGCAAGGGACCTCCTCTTCAAGAATGATTTTGACCCTAAAAAGGCCCTGCAGCAGCTGTCGAAGGTCCCCAGAGCGGAGTTCAAGGAGCCCGAGCTTACTCCTGCCGAACTCAAAAAGTTCGAGGAGGGTGTCGGAAAATACGGCTCCGAGTTGCACCTCGTTATGAAACACGTCAAAACTCTAAAGCCGGCAACAGTAACCCGATTTTACTATACTTGGAAGAAAACGGAGCGAGGTAAGCAGATCTGGGGCAATTTCGCTGCGAGAAAGGGAAAAAGGGACGCAAAGAAGGCCGAGGCTGCTGCCACCAAGCAGGCCGACGACGTTGCAGACGACCATGACGATTCAGCCTTTGATGCAGGCAAGGCCAAAGCTCGAAAGAAGGCGTTCATGTGCAAGTTTTGCGGCACCAAGGCGTCGCGGCAATGGCGTCGTGCCCCCACTATTTCACAACCCATCGCGGAGACTAGTGGTCGCAGTACCAAGCAGGACAAGAAGGGGGAGTTCATTCCTGCTCTCTGTCGTCGGTGCGCCGAGCTCTGGCGCCGATACGCTATCCAGTGGGAAGACGTGGACGAAGTTGCAAAGAAGGTTGCTCAGCTCGCAGGCCGCAACTGGAAGCGCAAGGTCGACGAGGACCTTTACAAGGAGCTGCTCGCGGCTGATGAAATGATTGCCAACACCAAGATTCGCACCCCCGAACCTACGCCTGTCCCAACGCTTGTCCACGAGCCACCAGCGGCTGGTCAAGAGCCGCCGCGGAAGAAGCTCAAGGGATCCACTCGCGAAAAGGACAAGGACAAGGCCCAGGACAAGGAAAAGGAAAAGGAAAAGGTGGAAAAAGAAAAGGAGAAGGAAAAGGAAAAGGAGAAGGAGCTCGAACCCGCAGTGTCAGAGCCGGGCAGTGTGGCATCCACTCCCACCCCAGTCATAACAAAGAAGAAGGAAAAGGTCGTCGAGAAGCCGGTGACTATTGAGAAGCCCGCTCCGCCTCCACCGCCCCCGGTTCCCGAAATCCCGAAACCGCGAACATTACCCTGCGCTATTTGTCGTCAGATGGAACCTATGGGCGATCAACATCTCTCATGTAAGGAGTGCCGGATGACAGTTCATCGTAACTGCTATGGTGTCCTTGAGCATCGGGCTCCCGGGAAATGGACGTGCGACATGTGCCTGAACGACAAGAGTCCGCAGGTATCATTGGTAAGTAACGAATGTTTTCTGAAGGATTGTTGTCGTCTACTAACACTTTTGTAGAGCTACAAGTGCGTCCTTTGCCCGGTTGAAAAAACGGAGCATGATTTTGTAGGGCCACCCAAGAATTCCCATAAAAAGAAGACCGAAAAGGAGCGTGAGCGTGAACGCCAAGAGCGAGAGAATGCCATCAAGGCTGCCGAATACTATCGGAAGAAGCAAGAGGAGTTGAACCGACCCGTCGACCCGCGCGAACCCCTGAAGCGGACTGCAGACAACAATTGGGTGCATGTTACTTGCGCGGTTTGGACCCCGGAAGTCAAGTTTGGCAATGCCAAAGCGCTTGCCCCTATTGAGGGCATCCCATTGATCAACCGAACCAAGTACTTGGAGATTTGCAGAGCTTGCAAACAGGACGGCGGAGCTTGTGTCAGCTGCTATCATTGCAAGTCGCCAGTCCACGTTGAGTGTGCCCACAAGGCCGGTTATGTCCTCGGTTTTGACATCACACCGGTAAAGGGTTCTCGCCGTGATCAGCATAACATCGTCACTCTCGGGAGTGAAAGTGGTACAATGTCGGCCACGATCTGGTGCAAGGAACATGCGCCTCAGAAGGGCGCATTTCACCCAATGCACGAAAAGGTGGACGAAAGTGGCATGACCGCACTACAGCTCTATGTTCAAAACTACAAGCAGGCAGACCTGACTCTTACGGGTTGCGCCAGGAAGGCCATCCAAATCACTCCAACCACTCGGCCTACTTCATCTTCTGCGACATCAACGAGTCACCAAACGAGACGAATCTCGACGATTCACCTGCTTAACGGGGATCATGGAGAATCAGCCGCGGGCTGCCGACAACCAGGCAGCAAGATATGCTTGACTTGTGGGACTGATGTGAGTCCCAAGTGGTACCCCATCGATGAAGCCCAGGAGCGTGGGCTCGTAAATGGATATTGCGGTAATTTGGGATCAGAAGCACAAAAGTTTATTGAGCAGAGGAGCGTTCAATGCCACAAGTGCAAGAAGGAGGGGCGTCAACCACATGTGCATCCTAAGAGGGAGCCAACACCCCCTCCTCCTCCCGCGCCACTCTTGGTTCCTGCCGTTGAGCCAGTCGTCCACCCAGTACAGGTATCTCAGGCGCCGCCGGTGGCACCACCACCAGCCCCAGTTACAACGGCCCCAACAGCTGTGATGGATATTCCAGGTAGTAGACAACCTGGCCCAAGTCCTTACTGGTCACCCGGGGTCCAGGCAGCCCCCATCCAGCCTCCTTTAGCTCACCCGGCGCCTATTCGTCCCCCGGTCTCGCACCCTCCTGTTCCTGTATCAGGCCCTGTCGCCCCGCAGGTTGCTCCCCCGCCGACACTTCCCCCGAGCCTCGCGCCTCGGGGCCCATCTATGCCACAGTCCCTGTTTGGATCGGCACCTCCGAGACCTTACGACGACTGGCACCGTCAGCCATCAGGTCATCCACCACCGTTGCATCCAGCACGACAGTTGAACGGCACTGGTCCTTCACCACCACCGTTGAACAGCATGCCTTCATTGGCACCGCCCAACCATCTACGGCCGTCACCCTCGCTCTCGATTGCGAACCTAACACACGCTCAACCCCCGCCTCCTCCTCCCCAAAACGGGCATAATGGGCATAATGGGCATATAGCACATCCATCTCCCTATGCAAGGATGGATGGTTTGCCACTTTCGCCTCGCCGGGTGAGCGGCCAGCCCACCACTCCGAGCGGCGGCTCCTATCTATCAGGAGGCTCTCTCCATAGCCACGGAGGACCACCCGATCTGCGACCGCCTACGGATTTACGAACAGACTTACGACCCCATAGCATGCTGAACCACGCGTTGCCTCCACACCACGTTACTGGGCTCCCACCTCAGCCTGCTGCCGCAGAGCAACACCAACCCCTATCCTTTCTAAGGCATTGGAACAGCCATACTGCGCAGCAAAACCAGCCGCCTCCTCTGCATCACACCTCTTCTTACCAGCAGGTATCAGGTCTGCCACCGCCACCGAGGGATAACAAGCCAAAAGACATGAAGACTGGCGCGAGCTCTAGTCCGTCGCTTCGTAATCTACTCCACTAGGACGTTCTTGGAGTTGGATGTGCAATTTTCCGTGACGTGTCATCGTATAAGATGAAGACCAGGGACGAAGGTGACAAACGACTTTATACGAATTCGTGGAGAGAAAGGAAGGGGTTCTTAATCGCTCGAATAAGGGAAGAAGATCGGCGGCCATAAGCCATCTCGATTGTTTGCAAGACATCAATCGAACCTCTCTTCAAGTCGCAATTGGAGGCTAAAAAGGAAAGGAGAAAGGAAGACAAAAAAGAAAAAAGATGTTGATATAAGGGTTTAGAAATGGCGTCAAAGATACCGATTTGTATTTGCTGCGAAGTTTCGGGAAAGCCATCCATTACGTACTTGTAAATGTATTATCTGCATAAGTTTGGTTCGAGTTTTTCCGAAGTGCAGGGAGGGACGTAGGGGGTGAAAGGAACTCGGGCTGGACTGGACTGGACTGGACTGGACTGGACTGGACTACTTTTCCTTTGCTTGCACTTTGTTTACATAGCATGGTCGGATAGGAGACGAGAGGATGCCCGATTACCGTACTTAGCTTGTTATTGCTGACTTTAGTGACATTGTCAACTCACTTTGGTGTGTGGCATGAGCTGAGGATGTTTAATTAAGCAGCTACAGTAGAGTTAGAAGGAACAGATGCAGTGCAGTTGATCAGCCTTCTCAATCATATCTCAGCACCCCTTCTATCTGTTCAGACGCTCCGTAACAGAGCCCCTCCCCTTCTTTCTCTTACACTCAGCACCAGAATCATTCATTCACAAAACATGGTCATCTCCCTGCTCCCTCTTCTCCTCCCCCACAACACCAATATCCTCCCACCAAACCCCCGGACTCTCCCTCACGAACCGTTCCATCAATGTCCTACACTCTTGATCATCCATAACCACCACCTCGACCCCTCTCTGGCGCAGATAGTCTTCCCCTGCTGCCTTGAACGTGCTATTCTCCCCTATCACTACCCTCGGGATCTTGTAAAGCAGAATTGCCCCTGTACACATGTCGCAGGGGGAAAGGGTGGTGTACATTGTTGAGTTTGCGTAGGTGGAAGCGGGGAGGCGGCCAGCGTTCAAAAGGGTTGCGGTTTCGCCCTGTGTTTAGTTTAGGTGGTTGGGGTTGGATTGATTTGTATATGGTTCACACCGGGGAGGGGATGATGAAGTATGAAATGACGCCAGGAACGTACGTACATGATGAATAGGTGAATCAAGCTGGACGCGCTGGTTATGGCCGCGGCCGAGAACGGTGCCGGTGCTGGAGATGAGTGCTGCTCCGATCTGTTGTTTGGGGTATGGTTTGGTTTGGGATCGTTAGCAAGGTTAAAGGTATGTAAGTCCATGTGTCGGGGTACCTAAGGTTAGGCTTGATCGTGTCGAAACTCGGCAGGAGTTTTCTTCCTGCAATGGCTTGCTTCAGGTAAGAATCTCTTTCTGTGATTTATATATACTATTCTGAGGGAGATTGGTAGGTGGTTGAAGAGAATTATATCAAGAAGACATACAGGAATTCCTCCTTGTTCATATGATTTCTTAGCCTCCTCGAAGGCAATGGCTAGACCGGCAGCGTCATCCATGATGGAGGAATTTAGGGAGGTCAAATAAGAGGTATGCTATGTAAGAGACTGAGAGAACTTTGAAAGTGCAGAAGGTAGCTATGGTCTGGAGGAGATAGCTTTCCAGAAGCAGCACCGTGATGTTGTCACTCGACTTCAACTCGCTTAGGTTCCCGTTTTCCACGTTTGATGAGCATCAGGCTGGTTGAATATGTGACCCAAGACACCTTATCTCCCTGATATCTCCGTGGTATTGGTGTATATCTAGCCTTTGCAGCAGATCCCCCACTTCCGAGATGTCACTCAGTGCGATAAGGTGCTGTTTGCGAGGGTGACCATTCGGTTGCGAATTCAAATAGCCATTGATCCGGCGTACTGTAGGCACCCAAAAAAAGAAAAGAAAAAAAGAAAGAAAAAAAGAAGGGCATCTGAGCTGGGACACCTCGGTAAGGCAAAGATGCTGAGGTTATATAATCCATGGATCTGAATGATTTGATCCCAAGTATTCCCTCATGAACCACAGATAGACGCCCCAAGTCTTTCTGGTGATCGATAAGCAAAGCAGCAGCGCACGTCATTCTTGCTTGCTTCACCCGAAATTCTCTAGATGTAAGGTAAACCCTTATGAGAAGCTGCCCCGCGATGAGTTGTTGAAGGGGGTTGAAAAACCGAGGGGCAAAAGGCGACGTCAAGATGTTGGTGGGGTTGTTGGGAAGCGGAACGCCTGCAGGGTTTCGAGCGGACGCCAACTCGGATCCAGACGAGACAACATCACCAACAACCCAATCAGAGGACATGCATGCTGCCTTGTAAAAAGAAGGTAAAATGCCTAGTGTAAAGATTTATGCGTTTTTACAGTTTTATAAAGTGTACATATGCACCATGTTTTGCATGATTGCGTGCGGTTAAAATAAAAGTTGAAAGTTGGGCATTGATCACTGTCACATTGGAGCGCACCAGCCACGATCGACAGGGTCCTCCAAGGTCAACCGAATTTCCATCTGCATCTCCTGAGGCTAGATCCTCTCAATGAGTGATAAAGAGGTACTTTTGAATGAGTGTGGGGAACCTGGTCACCTCTCACCTCGCACGCCCTCTTTGCAACCCTGTAGAAGCGGGACAAAGTAGCTCATTATTGGCCCCCATATCTGTCAGCCACACTCTAGAGCTTTCGATTGATTTCCATGAGAGGGGCTGAAGAAGAACTCCCTGGGCCAGTCACCCACTTCAGCCTCCTTTGCCGTTCCGGGCGCCCCCCCAACGAACAAGGCGCCCGTCGCATCCCTCACTCTGCGCCTATTCCAGAATTGCAGTGAAGATTCCGGTTCTGTTGCCCTGCCTTGGTTAATATTTGAACACTGCTGCCGGTACTTGGACAGTTTTCTCGAGAAAGTTGATCAGTCATTCCGTTATACCCCATCTTCCGTCTTCCGTGTTGCTACTACAACTACGCCTCATCAAGCCTCCTATCACTCCCAACTATCCTTCGGCGACTCAACCCGTACCTTATCAACTATTTCCATCTCGGACGCTTCCTGCTGCTGTTGTAGCTCAAGCTGTTCTGGTAGGTCCATCCCTGTTTCTGTCTGTTCCTGTTCTGCGCTTCTTTCTCGGTGCCCTGGACCACCCCCCAAAGACAAGCGAGGCCTGGAAGTCCCCAACTTCTGCCAAACCAACTCCGACTCGGGACCCCGTCGGCCTTTCCCAACCCTTTGCGCAAAAAGATCTTTCCCTTCCACCGTTGTCCACCACCGCTCTCCATTTGCACCAGCCATTCATTGTCTCCTCTCGACCCCATTTCCATTATTCTCGACGCGACCTCGCAGCCGCTGACCTTATCTGTCTTTCCATCAGACCACGATTTCTTAACGACCCTGACGCCTCCCCATATCCGTCATTGTCATCGGAACTGATTGTCCAGAGCATTCCGAATTGCCAGAACATTTTTTCCACACATATTCACATAACCAGACCAGACAGTCAAGATGGTCAAGGAAACAAAGCTCTACGAGACTCTTGGAGTAAGTTCTGCTGCTCATCGATACCCCTAGCCTGACAGAGGAGGGTCTAACGCCCAGAATTAGGTCAGCCCAGATGCCACTGAGGCGCAATTGAAGAAGGCATACAAGACCGGTGCCCTTAAGTACCACCCAGGTATGTCCCGCCTTCCTTGCAACACGCGCAGTCAAATGGCTTACTGACAGCAAAACACTACAGACAAAAACGCCAACAACCCGGCTGCCGAGCAGAAGTTCAAGGAGATTTCTCACGCATACGAAATTCTTTCCGACTCCCAAAAACGCGCCATCTACGATCAGTATGGCGAGGCTGGTCTTGAGGGTGGCGCCGGTGCCGGTGGCGGCATGGCTGCCGAGGACCTGTTCGCTCAGTTCTTCGGCGGCGGTGGCTTCGGCGGCGGTCTCGGTGGTATGTTCGGCGGTATGAACCAGCAGCGTGCCCCCGCGAAGGCTAAGACTATTCATCACACCCACCACGTCTCGCTTGAGGATATCTACCGCGGCAAGATCTCCAAGCTGGCCCTTCAGCGGTCAATCCTCTGCCCCAAGTGCGAGGGTCGCGGCGGTAAGGAAGGTGCCGTCAAGCGGTGTGCTGGCTGCGACGGTCAGGGTACTAAGATCATGATGAGGCAGATGGGCCCCATGATTCAGCGCTTCCAGACCGTCTGCCCTGACTGTAATGGCGAAGGCGAGGTAATCAAGGAGAAGGATCGTTGCAAGCAGTGCAATGGCAAGAAGACCGTTGTCGATCGCAAGGTCCTCCACGTTCACGTTGACCGTGGTGTCAAGAGCGGCACCAAGGTCGAGTTCCGTGGTGAGGGTGACCAAGCACCTGGCATTCTCCCCGGTGACGTTGTCTTCGTCATCGAGCAGAAGCCCCATCCCCGCTTCACCCGTCAGGATGATGATCTTCTTTACAAGTGCGAGATCGATCTCGTGACCGCCCTTGCCGGTGGAACCATTTACATCGAGCATCTTGATGAGCGCTGGTTGAGCGTTGACATCCAGCCCGGCGAGGCTATTGCGCCCAGTAAGTGTTTTTCTGGCCCGCTACATTTTGCATCAGCAAGCGCTAACAGTAAGATAGACTCCGTCAAGATGATTCGTGGCCAGGGTATGCCCTCCTACCGCCACCACGATTACGGCAACATGTATATCCAGTTTTCCGTCAGGTTCCCCGAGAAGAACTGGACTCAGGATCCCGCTGCCTTCGAGGCTCTTCGCAAGTACCTCCCGGCCCCCGCTGTTGTCAACGTACCCCCTCAGGATGCTATGACCGAGCCAGCAGAATTGGAGGACGTCGAGGGCAACGGAGCCGGCCGTGGCTTCTCCAACAGCCCTATGGAGGAGGATGACGAGCCTCAGGCCGAACGCGTACAGTGCGCCTCGCAGTAAGCGAGTTAAATGGGCGGGGAAGCAGTATCAACCTTATCCATTATTCGACGAGAAATTGCGGCACAAGCGACGGTCCAACAAAACGTGCCATGCACGACATTGTTTGAGACTTGCTATGGAGGCTGAATGATTTGCAACGATTCTAAATCATTTCATGTCTCCTGTTCCCATGATCATCCTTAACGAAGCAAATATACCCGATTACTCGACCCATTATCGAGTATTGCACATTTGACGAGGCACGATATTCGAGGGGCCGACAAAAGGAAGAGTTGGAGAAAGGAACAAAAAGGGGGTATGATGCAAGGTGAAAACCGGTAATACCTGAAGTGTGATCAAATCGGCACGGGTGGAAGGGATACGATCACACTTATCAACACAGCACCCGGATTATCACTATTTCGGTGGAAGAAGAGGGTTCAATCTCGTTGTTTGATGTTCCCCCTATTTCACCTGCGTTTAATGACATGGTGGACTTTTACTACTATCGATGTCAAAATATATCAACACCCGGTCTTATTGACAGGCGTTTTAGAGAGGATATCGGACTGATAGAAAAGAAGGATGAAGGGCATGAATATGGCATTACCGTCTTATCCCGGCTATTTGCTTCATATGAAGGACACAGGAAGGTCATGTAGCATGAGACAGGAACAGGGAGGGACCACTCAGTACGTGCTCATGCTACGCGTACCACATGATTGCTGCTCACCTGGATCCAGGAAGAAGGGGGGAATGGGAACTGGATTTTTTTTTATTTTTTTTTCTGGGATTGTTAGCGAAATGATCATGAGGATATCTGAAAGCCATATTTCGTTTCATTTGCGAACTGCATGTTGTTATGTCGTGACCATTAGATATAGGCTGCCGACGAGCTCCTAGCGTACCCATCCAGTGTACTCACAGTCTGTAAGACCGCGTGCCTGTAAATTCGCCATTCAAGGCAAATCGGATGTGATTCTGAGCATCTGAGACCGGAGCAACACGTCAATTTTCCAAACCAAACATCAGCCTCCTGGGGGCCAGTTAGGGCACGTCTCGTTGGTCGTGAAGACTCAAGTAAATATTAACCTCATCTCCCCGATCGTGTTATACCAGTACCAGAAGCACACATCCTCGCCAATATCGCACAAAATTCAGAACGATATGGAATTTGTCTTCTTGACCATCAAGAATCTCAACATACATGCCAAACCGGCAACGAGCTGAAATCCCCGACAGCCACTCACGCTTAATCGAGGGTATCATCCCTCAACTTGAACAACTGCCCCAGAACCTCGTCGGTCTTGGCCCTCAACGCTCCGTGATACATGACGTTCGTCTCAAACACCTTGGTCCCTCTGACCGCCTTGGCTGTCTCCCTTGCAAAGTCTGCGTCAACATACATGTCCTCAACATAACTGGCCGCGTAGACAGGGACTTCGTTCCGCGCAAGCTGATCCAGGTCGTAGAGCCGCGGCCAGTCGTCGTACTTGGCCAGAAGCTCGGCCGTCTCCTTCATGTCCTTTAGCTCCGGGTAGCAATCGAAGTGGGCAGGGTAGACCATTTCGCCAGAGAAGTACAGGGGCTGCTGGTTTGTGGAGGAGGAGGAGGAGGAGTAGTCGAGGGCTTGGGGCACCGAGGACAGCCAGCTGAGTCCCGGCTCGGACTCGGCAAGCGTCTTGCCGACCCCGTGGGCGGCCCAGTCGGACGCCAGCCCGGGTCCGTTGGTGTAGATGGACTCGTGGAGGACGGCATAGATGGGATTGGTATCGAACGGAACCAGCCCCTCGAAAGCGGCGCCTGCGGCGCGGGTGATGAAGCCGAACTGCTCAATGTCCATGGCCAGCTTGAGGATGGTGCTGTGGATCAGGTCCAAGCCGCCATTCATGCCCAGACACAGACCGATGCCGAGCAACCGTTCGACGGTGAATTCGCCGCCGCCTGGCAGCAGGGGGGATTTTTCGTCCAGGTACTGCGCTACCTTACGGACGCGCTCCACGTCTTCGGGGAACTTGCGGTAGTAAGCCTCGTTGCGCTGGATGACCTTCTTGTACAGCGCCGTGTAGACTTCTTGGGCCGTGCGCTTGACGGGCGCGAGACCGCCCGTCAGAAACACCTCGCGCAACCCTTGCGGGAACTGGGAGAGGTACGTCAGCGCGACAAAGCCGCCGTACGACTGGCCGAAAATGGACCACTTCTTATGAGTCTCGGGATAATCGGCAGTCAGACAAAGACGCACGGCCTCGGCATCTCGGACGATGCTGTCGGCGCGGAAGCGCTTGAGGTAGTCGGCCTGCTGCTGGGGGCCACCCAATGTGGCTAGATGGGGCTGGTTGATGGGCGTGCTTAGGCCGGTGCCGCGGTAGTCGAGCAGGAGGAGGGTGTAACCTCTGTCCAGGGCTGTTTTGGTCAGTTGGTGGTCTTGGGGTTCTCTGTTGCCGAAGCCGGGACCGCCTTCGAGGTAGACGAGGTAGGGCCTCCTGTGGTATTCCTCCAGCTCGCTGTCGGTGCGGGGCACAATGGGGGTGTCATGTTTGGTGACTTGGCGACCGAAGATTTTGAGGTTTCCGGCGGAGAGATTGGAATGGTTGAGGGGCACCTCAAAGGTGAGCTCTGTGACGCGTAGCTGGCCTGTTGATTTGTGTCAAAGATTGCCAATGCCATGAGATGATCATGTCGGGTTGCCTCACCAGGGACAATGTGTGCTGTGCGGCTCAACAAACGAGCTGGACGAATGACTTGAGCAGCCATCATGTTGATCAGTACTGAAAAAAAAAGCCTTGGTAGTGGCTAGTCCTAGCAGATACATATGTTGATAGAGGTGAAAGCTGAAATAATGAAGAGGATGTCAAAACAACACCATGAAGCCACCACGCTTATAGCAGAGGGGCGTCATCGCGGGGTGTTATATGCCTTATTAAGAGGTAAGCTGACGGTTACAGTTGTTGGAAGTGATATTAGACCAGTGACCCAGGTGTAACCAACCGAAGGGGCTCTAGTTCCAACTGTATATTTGAAGAAGTGATTATCTATATCCTACCTATATGGCGGGCTTGATGAGTGATGTTTGATGTATGTCCTAACACAAGCCCATGTTATCAAATTCTAGCATCTCTTTTCTGAGGCCTTGGATTATCCCCTCGAAGTGCATTGAGATACGAGATAGGCAAACAGGATTTCAAATTGGCCTGACATTCGCAAGTAACAAGCCGCTCGTTCATCATGCCGCCGTAGTGTACATGTTTACCCTTCTCCCCCGAGCTCATGATGACCTCACAAGGGATCTATGTATGTTGTGATGTTAGTGTTCGGTCCCCCCTGTTGCCCCTGGCGTCCCGCTGTGTCGGTCCGGGTGTTCGTGCCAAGTGCCAGCCCCAAGTGGAAATGCCCCGCATGTTGAGAGTTCTGGGTGGGGTTTCGCTTAGGTAGTGTATGTACACCGGCGTCGGGCAAACGTGGCGGGCTCTGCTTTTCGGCGGTGGCCCGGGTGGGTGCAGTGCTCCAAAAAGTGGACCCTATGGGATGACTAAAACCGCGGCCGGAAACAGCTGCGGAAAAGCCTTTCTTCTCTTTTCCATTCCCGCGCGTTTCACATCCATTGGAAGACTGGAAAAGGCGGAACGACCTAACGAGCTTGTCACGCGGCGCAACAAGCAAGCGGTCCATTCAGCCTCCTCTTCCTGTTACTTATACCGCGAAGGTCCTCCCCGCTTCGTCGCAACAAATGCTGTGGGATGGACTACCTACAACTAACCCAGACTCTAACCGAGTCCTTCATTGCCCTGGCAGATGAAGTCCAATCACTAATCGACCGCAAGACCATCCTTGAGCACAAGCTTCGCTTTGCGCACGAGCAGGTAAGGTAAAACACCCTCCATTTCCTTTTTTCCAATTTCAACCCCCCCTTTTTGTGATGATTTCTTAGCTCTAGATCTGCCAGCTGCCTATCAACAGCACGTGGAGACAACTTCTAATGTCTGATCCAATTTACACCCGATTGCGCTTGTCATCTCCCATCTTACTTGACGATGGCGATCATGTCTGGCTAACACATATGCCCGCAATTTAGTACCAGTGTCTAGCCGATAAGTATGCGCCTGCAGTTCCCGAGGTAGCCGAAACGCTCGCAAAGCTCCAGCTCCCACCGGACCTGCACTATTATTCTGTCGCGACCAGCTCATCCGTCGTGCCTCTGCCGCGGCGCATCCAATCTGGAAACTCCCAGCACGAGATCGCCCTGCAAATCAGAGAGGGGAGAAAGGCTGCTCAGCTCATTGCCGCTGCCATGGGAAGGGCCAGCAAACACAGTGACTCTAGCAAGGAGGCTTCCACCTCTCCTGTTACCGCCGCCGACACCATGACTACCATGTCGACCGTGCTCGAAAAGGACTTTACTGTTGAGGGGAAGAAGAAAGGCCTCCTTGCATGTCCCTTTTCTGCTGCTGTCACGCCTCCCGCTGTCCAAGACCGAGCATCGCCCAACCTTGGTATTGGCAGTGTGACTGGCGATGGAGCCCAAGACCAAGATGCTGCTGCTTTGAACAACGGCACCGCCGCCATGGACCCCACTCCGCACAAATCCTCTGACCCCATCTGCGCTGCCATGTACGGGGACTCGACGTCGATGCCCGCCCACACTGCTGCCTCCAAGTGTCCGATTCGATTTCTTGACAAGCACTCCCCTGAAGAGATTGCTCGCTACGTGGAGACGCACAAGCACGAGATTCCGCGCAGTCATGAGGTTTGCGTCAGGCGCTATCAAAAGAATGAAGAGCAAGTAAGGAAGCTCGATGCCAAGTATGGGAATCTGGTCAACATGATCGAGGACCTGAGCCATCTGCACAAGCCTATGCTGCCTTCACCAGCGACGGGAGATCAATATCAAGACCATGAGCAAGTCGATAGAACCTCCAATGAACGAGTAGCGAACTGGGCCAAGTCTGTTTCCGCCAGTGACCCGCAAGCGGCACCGGAATACCAAGACGACCAGCCCGTAGAAGATGAGGAAGAACGTGAGGGTCGCTTTGATCGTCCTTTGAGAGAAGTTCGCCTGGGAGAGTCGCCCAGCCGACCATGGGGCATTCCCGTACCTGCCATGGTCGACCAAGCCCAGAGGCAGAGGCTTCGGAGCCCAAGTCCGATTCGGCCTGCGGTTCCTGCGAGATCGCTGGCTCAGGATGGGATTCCTCACAAGAAAGGTCCACAGGCTGGGAAGTGTCCCTTTGATCATACCAAGATGGCTGCATTCGCTTCATCTAGGACAAAGGTAGAGCAACTGTCCAAACAGGAAACAGTGCCGGGAGAGACGGCGCCCAAGGGGACGGATCACAAGGTTGAGCAGTCCACACCAGTAAAGGAGCATCACATCATACCACCACCTATACCTACACCACAGCCGACATTTATCAACCTGGCAGATATGCCTATGCCGAAGGATGAAACAGCAGGTCAGCAACAGAGCCCCGTGGTCTTCAACTTCAATGGGCCAGTTTTCATCGGCTATCCTATGGAACAGGCCATTCAGTTTATGCAACAATTCCAGGGTAGCAAGTGAGCAGGGCAGCTCGGGAAGAGCATCAGTCTCTTGTGTGTGTTCATTGTCATATAATTTTAGGAACAGGCGAGCGTGTCAGTCAAGTCTTGGGTTTGAAACTGGTAATGGTGGCTGTTTTGGCTTGCCCGGTTTGCAGATGGATAGCGAGGAGTTCAAGGATTGCATTATTCATCATATAATCTAATAACATGCTTCTCGGAAGATTGATAGCTGAACGTGAATACCGTTCTACAAAATCTATATTATATGTTCTTGAGTGCCGTCTATCTACCCATTTCTCT